GATAATAGCGTTGCACATGATTATGAGAATGCAAACACATTTGAGGTGTTATCATTTTCATTGAATGATCTGCACATTCCTCAAGACATCGCAGTCTGAATTCTATCTGGTTGAGCAATCTGTTCGGATCCCCAGCTATGACCCTTTGGCGATGCTCTTGCAAGAAGCTCTTCACTTCTGACTTGAAGGCACCCCATATATGTTCAATCTGATTCAACATAGGGCTCTCAAACACCGTTCATCCACTGTAAACAATCTTTTCTTTTGAAATTAAAAACCTTTCAAACATATAAAAGGATTTCATCTTCTGAAATTGAACCTACCAATAATAATTCTGAAATACAACTTACCATTTCTGAAATTGAATGGACTTTTTCTGAAATCCATCTCACCGATTCTGAAATTGAGTTTATCATTTCTGAAATCGAACTAACCAATTCTGAAATCGAGATTACTTTTTCCGAAATATAACTTACCGATTCCGAAATTGAAGTAGAAAAGGTATATTATTATATACTACTACTTTTTGTGGTTTCGCCAGCGTAATAAATAGTATATACACCTCAGGACAGAATGCTATTTTTCCCTCGGTGCTTGTACAAATCGCACCTTGGAAAACATCTTGCATTTCTGTCCCTTGATGTATAATGTAATATTTTACGTGAATCAGAATTTGGATAAAATGAGATAAAAACTTTAATAATGTGCTAGGCCGGATTTCTTTGATATAAGCAGAACTAGGCACAATTGATGCTTTCTGAAATACAAGTGACGATTCTGGAATACAATTGATGCTTTTTGAAATTCCATTGGCGCTTTCTGAAATACAACTGGAGAAGGTGTAGATCTGTGTTTTGTACCTGAATACGTGAATAACATAGCAGAGCCCAGTATGGCGACTATCATTATTATTCCTGTTTACCAATTATTTGGTGTTCTGTGTAATTTGGTAACGTTATAGACTACACTGATATAGAATTCGCGATCGCCCGATAATCGTCCACGCGATAATTTCATTGTTCCATCAATATCCGGGATGCTAATGACATTACCTATATTCATTTCCGAGGACGCGTTATTATGCCTAAACGATGCACATTTCCCATTTCCAGTCATATTAATTGGTACATTTATTGCGTAAAATGATACTGAATGACGGATTAGCATAATCTGTATCGACAGTGCATATTTTCAACTGATGAAAAATTGAAAAATATGGTTGGAGAAGGGTGTTACGTTTCTATAAATAAAGCATGATGGATTTAACAATAATTGATATCGATGATGGCTGTTTCAATGTTCCACACATGTTTTTATATTTATATTCGAATCTAGTAATTTTCCAGTTGGTTTTATTAGTTTTTCAGAATTAAACCATTTTCAGTGAATTATAAAATGCCAGTAGCCGGAGAAGGCTAGGCTCTGGAATTCATTGCCTGAGGAAGTATTCCCAACAACATATAATCTCCAGAAGTTCAAAAAAAATTCCAATACCTACCTCCTGTCCCTATCCTCCCTAGGAACGCACGATGTTATTTGAAAATTATAGGGATTACCTTCCGTGCGTTCCAAGCGATAAAAAAAAAACCACCAGAATATTAAGATTCAGCCTAACGCATGTCTTATGAAAATGTTGCTAGTTTTGAAGATAGAAGGTGTTCAAGGGGAAGATTTTATTTTAAAATTCCTCAATAACTTCCTAAGTTTGAACAGCATGAACATAACATTTTGTATATAGTTTCAAGTTTTCTGACATGAAGAATACGATTTTGTAACTCATTTTGTGATTGCTCATAGAAGGCCCTATAGTGGCACTCTATATCTTCTTTGTCCATTGAATAATGGTCAACCTTAGTTGAAGAACTGAAAGTCTGTTCAAATGTACTAGGTATTTTTCAAATTGTCTAGCTCTAAGGGTTTTGCCTTATTCGCTCTTGAAAAGATCTGCGATTCATTTATACAATTTTTCTCATTTGAAATCATAAACTTTGTGAAAAAATTACAGTAATTGATATTGACAATCACTAAGAACACCGACAACAAACAAAATTTCAAAGTAAGTGTGCGACCTTCTGATAAGATTTCTGTTGAGTAGTACTTTCGAAATATATTATACATTTGAATCCTTATTCATTCAAGTCCAAGATACGAGGGTGATTATACTGGAAGGGACACACTGTAATCGAGTGATAAACATGTTCCATGTCCGCTTGTCGTGTATTTTGCATACTACAAGCACCCCACTTATAGGTGTATCTGATCATTTCGAATTGAATGTGTCAGACACGACAAGGACGATTTATTTATAGTCCTTATCCTTATCCGCTTCCTACGGAAACGGGACGTTTTTGCCTTTTGTTTTCGAGATGAAGGGACAAAGAGGAAATTGAATGGAAAATGTTGGGGACTCATCGAAAAAAACTCGATTGGAATTGTGTTTTTACATAATAAATAAGGTAGGAGATTACAATATGCCCAATTTAAGTGAGAAATAAATAGAACAAAAATGAGTTATCAAACCCACACAATCCTCATAACATCTTTTTGGCAGATAATGCATAGGCGCATTTCAGAAATTCCTTTCATCTGACATTACTTTTAGGTGCTGTAGCCCATGTGCATATTGGCAACTCCGCATGATGGGCATATTGCTACACATGAAGTTAAATTAGGTTAGGTAATGTTATTGTCTTGAGTGTTACCTTAAATCGATTGCTTTCCACCACAATCTGAGCTTCAATACTCATGTATGGAACACAAAATATTGCATTTTATTTTCACTGTCTTTTACAACTCTACATATAATAAAAAACTAAACGTTGAAATATTATACCGGCGTCTTAAAAAAATGATTTTTAGCGACACCAGTATGATAACGCTCGCAACTTGCTGTCTAATCGACTAAAATCCAACAGAAAGTTAACAGAAAACACTATCTTACTACAAGATTAAAAGGGAGAGGGGAGTTAGAGACTCACAAGAAAGGGCAATTTTCTTAATGAAAACATATTGTTCGCCCTGATGTAATTGAGTTATTGTGATTTTTTTTTGGAGTATGTTCATTGTTCATATTCAATGAGAAAAATCTCCTCATTTAGCGAGTCGATATAACCTCTATGAAGTCATGAACAAAACACTGGACCACCCTGTATATTGTAAATTGATAGTGGAAAACATGCGAGACTTCATATCGAGGAAAGTCGTGAAAATTGTTATCTACGGCTTCTATACCTACATTTGACGTGCACCAGTGGATGGAAACCTTTTTAAATCGAATAAAGTAAAAAACGGCACTACATTACTCTTGCCCAGAGTTTGGTACGTCATATTAGATTCCAGAAACTCCATACACGAATTTCACCTAATTTCCGCATATACCTCGGAAACTTTGACGCTTTTTCCTTGGAGAATTTCAGTCGCGAGTCGAAGTTTCCGACCACAAAATATATTGGGTGAGTGCTTTTAGAAAGTGAACTCAATAAAAAAAAGATTCTCACATATACCCTCTTCTAAGACATGGAAAAGGATGTGCCTTCAGAGACCAAAATAAGATCCATTTCACATACTAAGGAATATATGAAATATTGACTATTTAGCTATAATATAATAATAATATTAATAATTTCATTGCTTCTTAAAACAGTATTTCACAGCAAGTTAGATTCTGAAGAGACAAAAATCAAAAGCAAACAATATGAACTGAAACTAATTAAAAAATCAAACATGAGAGACACTTTTATCCATTTGTTGACGGTTCAAAACTGGTTCAAAACTTAGTAATTTTTTTTTCATTTCAATGAAAAAATTATAATTACAATACAAATATCGTATCAATTACCTAAGAAAAATGTTGTTTTCCCTAAGTTTTGCCATTGAATGAAATATTTCAGTTGGTATATGAATGCCGCTGGCAGATTTAAATACTAATTCAATGAATACTAAAATGAAAGATAAAAAAGAATGCAAGTTGCCAAAAGAATGTATTTTTTAAAATTTTTTATAAATATTTTTTTTTGTACGATGTACGATGAATTGATATTCATCATACAGGACGTGGAAAGAAATTGTGGACTTCAGGTTACTGATTAGGATTTGATATCCGAAATGAGTTTTACTCGAGTAAAGTTATATAACCTGTTTGTGAGAGATATAATTTCCATATCACTGATACGAATGATTTTTTTGGAAGTTCCAAGCTCATCAAGATCAGAGTTCATACAAGTATATACTTCTCCCATACATTTCAATACTGAACATATTGGTAAGTAATATTTTTATATCATAATACATCATATTATTCTATTCCATTTGAGAGATAATGTCAATTCTAAATTTCAGAGGATTTTGATTTTTCATGCTCCCTTTTTGGATATTCAACAGATAGAATTCAATGTTCGACGAGGAAAATAGCCAGGAAAGTAGTTGTTTTCTGTTGAATATTCAGAATGATATTATGTGCATATCTTTATATGAAGGAGAATGCAAATTCTCTTCTCTACAGAAAATTTCGTTTTCAATGTTCATCGTGGCATATAGCCAGAAAAATAGTTTTCTGTTGAATAAACCGAGAAAGAATTATAATATTTTCATCACATGGAGAATGCGAATTCTCAATGTATTTCTTTATATATATTATTTTTTCTTTTGTTTATAAATATATCTGAGAATATTCCTTTTCAATGTTTTATATACCTATACTTCGCAGTAACGAAATAACCGCAAACGGTCTATCAGACTTGCGCGACTGGATTCTCCAATTGACGAAATTGTTTTTTTCACAATTTCATCTTGCCAAAAAGGCCTTCTTGAAATTGGTCGCCAACTCTCCGACTAGTTGAAAACAGATAATACAAGTTGTCTTTGGCTTGCGATTGGTCATTTCGAAATGAGTGAAATAGTCAAATAAATTCAACCAAGTGAGGTCAAAAATAAAGTAATCAGAAAATTTCCGCAAATATCTTGTTGAGCAATGTTCCTCCAATGTTCATCTGTTTACTCACTCATATGGTATAGGACCAAAGATTCCGTATCGTCTCCAAGCTCGCCGAATTTTTGAAAAGCTGCATTGATCGGGGCGAAGATAGTCACTTGTTTGTAGGCCAGAGTCAGGTTGGCCAGACGAGATGATTCCATGAGAGAGTAGAACTGGAAGAAAAAAAGACGTATCTAGAAAATCATGAAATGGTTTCGAGATATTGGATTTTGACAATGAAAATGTGATTAAAATGTAATGTTGGTCAATGTGTTGATAACTCAAAGCATCTATCACACGCGCCTAATGTTGCCATATGGCAACATCAGATCTTGGAAAAAAACCTGAATTCCATTTATGTATTTTATATCATTTCCCCTCTTTTGTAAGCACCAGTTTAAGATAATACAATATTAGAATAGTAGATTGTTTTATTAGGATCAAAAGTGACACTTTGTTTGACAAGCGAATTTTGCATTTGCGAGGCGGAGCGTTTAGCTTCAACTAAATATGTTGCCTAGCAACATACCTATTTTTGTGTCAGTAATAGAAACGTCAATTTAAGAGCTAATTTTGGTATCAAAATGGACGACGACGAAAACTTTTTCGACTTTTTCATAAAGGTCATGACTCATTCCAACCCTGATTTCTCCCCCATGTAATGTAGTTAGTTCTCAACTCACTCAAGGCGATTGCTCAAGTGATTTATAATACAGGGGGCTTACCACCCCCGTCATTTTTCCGTTCTTTTCCGTAACTCTGCAAAAATTCCTGTGTATGCGGAAACCGCGCGCTAGGGGTGGCATCTGCAAAGGGGATGTCTCGCGTAAGGGATGATTGGCGTTGTCGGGATGCCGAACATTCCGGGTGTTCCGGGAATCGAGGACGCGTGCTGCCGCAAACAAGACTCCGGGGAAAATATTATAGGAATATGGAAAAGCGTTAAGTCAATGGGGGCGATGGTGTTGATGAAAACAATCCAGTATTTTCTTTGAAACCCTCAGGGATTGAAAGTATACCCTTTGATTTCCTGAAGTGCATAAATGACTATTCTTGTTCTTTATTTATCAGATCGAAGATGCAAATGGTGAGAGTTTTGTAACTATGATCCGATTCTATTCAAAATTTGCATCTGAGGGTTTTCGGGGAGTTGGAGATTATGATTCGTCAATATTCAGAAAATCAATATGGGAAACGAGTTTTACTGATTATGATCCGATTCAATTTAAAATTGGTATCTGGAGGTTTCGGAGGTCGGAGATTATGATTCTTTCGTCAAAATTGGTATCTGGGGGTTTGAGTCAGAGATTATGGTTTTTTCGTCAAAATTGGGAAATTCAAGATAGCGGATGCAATATGGCAGATGAGCCATACAATAAAACGTAGTTTGAAAAACTAATGAATCACGCTTTCCCAGATAGCTTAATCAAAAAGAAGCAGAAAATAAATAGTTTGAAAAACTGAAGAGATGGATTGCCGAACTCAAAAAAAGTAGAAGACAAACAGTAGTTGAACAATAATATGAGAAAATAAAAGTGTGTTGATAAATATTTAACTGGAAAATATTTTTTAGCAATAAAGAATATGGCAAAACAACGTTCGATGAGTCGGCTAGTATTTTATAAAAAAGTGACATTGACATTAGCTTCCTACTTGGTTGGACAATGGAAACTGATCGAAAGTATCTGCAGCACATTTGTTCAATTTCTGTTTCTTTCTTCTTTTTGTTTCTTGATTCAAAATTGCAATTTCATAATAGCTTGCAGTATTAATTTGAACTTCTTCCACATGAATTATTCCAAAATCACCTTCAAAATTGAAAGTTGCACCCATTCATATATACATGAGAACCACAATATATACAGGAAGTCCCGTAAAGACCACGTCAGACCTAGGGGGAATGTAGATCAAAGGATAACCCACCTGTTATGACAAAATTCCCATTATGAAAGTCCTTTCGTTTTCGAGATTTTTTTTAATATTGAATTTTCGCCCCTTTCAATAGTTTTATCTGTACGGTTGGTGGAATATTACACCTTTTTGGTTCATTTTTTCAGTAAATATTGCTGAAGAATGATTTCAACGTATACATTAAAACATTCTCCGAACATTTTGAAGGAGGGCTGTAAGAAATATTTCTATTGAAAACTTTGGTAGTGGATATTTTCGAAACAAAAAAATATGTCGAAGACGATAAGACTTTTATAATGGGAATTTAGTCATATGCAGGTGGGTTTTCCTTTGAACTACATTCTCTCTAGGTTTGACGTGGTCTTTATGGGACACCCTGTATATTTGAATTAGGAAAGCAACTGAAACATTAGATTTTTTTGAAGAGAGAGTGGTGGAGAAAAGATCTAGTAACCTAACCTAAGATATGTTACCAGATCTAGTAACCTAACCTAGGATATGTTACCAGATCTAGTAACCTAACCTAAGATATGTTACCAGATCTAGTAACCTAACCTAAGATATGTTACCAGATCTAGTAACCTAACCTAAGATATGTTTAAGGTAAGGAGTTTTTACAATTTTCAAGCATTTTTGCAATTTTCATAGATTTCCGCAATCTTCAGGGATTTTTGCAATTTTCAGGATTTTTTGCATTTTTGCAATTTTTAGCAATTTTTGCAATTTTTGTCTTTTTTGCGATTTTTGCAATTTTCAGGAGTTTTTGCAATTTTCAGTAATTTTTGCAATTTTTAGGCATTTTCAGCTATTTATTGAATTTTTACAATTTTCAGGAATTTTTGCAATTTTTAGTAATTTTTGCAATTTTTGTCTTTTTGCGATTTTTGCAATTTTCAGGAAATTCTTGAAATTTTTATAATTTTCCGGAATTTTTGCAATTTTTGCGAATTTCAGTAATTTTTGCGATTTTTGCTATTTTCAGGAAATGGGTATTCCAATTAAAGAAACTGAGATGTTAACAGATCTAGTAACCTAACCTAAGATATGTTACCAGATCTAGTAACCCAACCTAAGATATGTTACCAGATCTAGTAACCTAACCTAAGATATGTTACTAGATCTAGTAACCTAACCTAAGATATGTTACCAGATCTAGTAACCTAACCTAAGATATGTTACCAGATCTGGTAACCCAACCTAGGATATGTTACCAGATCTAGTAACCTAAACTAGGATATGTTACCAGATCTAGTAACCTAACCTAAGATATGTTACCAGATCTAGTAACCTAACCTAGGATATGTTACCAGATCTAGTAACCTAACCTAAGATATGTTACCAGATCTAGTAACCTAACCTAGGATATGTTACCAGATCTAGTAACCTAGCCTAAGATATGTTACCAGATCTAGTAACCTAACCTAAGATATTTTACCAGATCTAGTAACCCAACCTAAGATATGTTACCAGATCTAGTAACCCAACCTACGATATGTTACCAGATCTAGTAACCTAACCTAAGATATGTTACCAGATCTAGTAACCTAACCTAAGATATGTTACCAGATCTAGTAACCCAACCTTAGATATGTTTAGAATTTTCAGGAATTTTTGCGATTTTTGCAATTTTCAGGAGTTTTTACAATTTTCAAGCATTTTTGCAATTTTCATAGATTTCCGCAATCTTCAGGGATTTTTGCAATTTTCAGGATTTTTTGCAATTTTTGCAATTTTCAGAAATTTTTGCAATTTTCAGGAAGTTTTGCAGTTTTTGCAATTTCCAGGCATTTTTGCGATTTTTGCAATTTTCAGGAATTTCTTGAAATTTTTACAATTTTCCGGAATTTTTGCATTTTTGCAATTTTCAGAAATTTTTGCAATTTTTAGCAATTTTTGCAATTTTTGTCTTTTTTGCGATTTTTGCAATTTTCAGATATTTTTGCAATTTTTAGCAATTTTTGCAATTTTTGTCTTTTTTGCGATTTTTGCAATTTTCAGGAGTTTTTGCAATTTTCAGTAATTTTTGCAATTTTTAGGCATTTCCAGCTGTTTTTTAAATTTTTACAATTTTCAGGAATTTTTGCAATTTTTAGTAATTTTTGCAATTTTTGTCTTTTTGCGATTTTTGCAATTTTCAGGAAATTCCTGAAATTTTTATAATTTTCCGGAATTTTTGCAATTTTCGCAATTTTCAGTAATTCTTGCGATTTTTGCTATTTTCAGGAATTGGGCATTCCAATTAAAAAATTGAGATGTTCACAGATCTGGTAACCCAACCTAAGATATGTTACCAGATCTAGTAACCTAACCTAAGATATGTTACCAGATCTAGTAACCTAACCTAGGATATGTTACCAGATCTAGTAACCTAACCTAAGATATGTTACCAGATCTAGTAACCTAACCTAAGATATGTTACCAGATCTAGTAACCTAACCTAGGATATGTTACCAGATCTAGTAACCTAACCTAAGATATGTTACCAGATCTAGTAACCTAACCTAAGATATGTTACCAGATCTAGTAACCCAACTTGAGATATGTTACCAGATCTAGTAACCCAACCTAAGATATGTTACCAGATCTAGTAACCTAACCTAAGATATGTTACCAGATCTAGTAACCTAACCTAAGATATGTTACCAGATCTAGTAACCCAACCTTAGATATGTTTACAATTTTCAGGAATTTTTGCGATTTTTGCAATTTTCAGGAGTTTTTACAATTTTCAAGCATTTTTGCAATTTTCATAGATTTCCGCAATCTTCAGGGATTTTTGCAATTTTCAGGATTTTTTGCAATTTTTGCAATTTTCAGAAATTTTTGCAATTTTCAGGAAGTTTTGCAGTTTTTGCAATTTCCAGGCATTTTTGCGATTTTTGCAATTTTCAGGAATTTCTTGAAATTTTTACAATTTTCCGGAATTTTTGCATTTTTGCAATTTTCAGAAATTTTTGCAATTTTTAGCAATTTTTGCAATTTTTGTCTTTTTTGCGATTTTTGCAATTTTCAGATATTTTTGCAATTTTTAGCAATTTTTAGCAATTTTTGCAATTTTTGTCTTTTTTGCGATTTTTGCAATTTTCAGGAGTTTTTGCAATTTTCAGTAATTTTTGCAATTTTTAGGCATTTCCAGCTGTTTTTTAAATTTTTACAATTTTCAGGAATTTTTGCAATTTTTAGTAATTTTTGCAATTTTTGTCTTTTTGCGATTTTTGCAATTTTCAGGAAATTCCTGAAATTTTTATAATTTTCCGGAATTTTTGCA